CAAAATGAAAATCAGAGTAGATGGACAACTTACAAATCTTATAGATACGGGCAATTTAATATGACGAGTGAGAGACTAATCAAGCCTTGTAGTTTTCAGATTTAAAATTATCAAAATTCATCAGAAAAAGATTCATCAGATTTCAGAATTATCAAAAAAGTCATTACAACTATCAACAAAGGAAGAGAATACAGAATGAAAAACACACAAGTCTAATTATGAGTGGATTCTGCTTTTATCCTTTTTTCCTCATTTCCATAACAATGACGTGTAGAAAGCTGTGTTCTAAATTCGATACAGTTTTAAATTAAGAGAAAATTAATGTAATAGAATATGTCATACATTTATAATTTCCAATCAATATTAACCTCACCCATATTCAATTACGAAGTTTAAAGTTATACTAAAGCTATTAAAACGAAGCTCCGCTAGCTCTTCAACTAATGTAACCGTCGAATTATAGTCGGTTAACGAGCTCCACAAAAACTAGCACCGAGAAAGCTCAATATGTGCGGTAAAGATGACCTACTTAGCGATAAATAAGGATAAGAGGGATAAATCATTAGATTTCGATAAAGGTTCCCGAACGTCCTGGATAAAAGATAAGATCCGAAAACATTGGACTAATTACTGGAAATGTTACGTGAGAAATTACGAGATATCCGCCTTTCTCCGGGGCAACGAAAGCTTTTAAAACAAATCAAGATTTTTAGGGAGGTGAGATAATTTGATTAACTTTTGTAATTTTTTAGATACAAGATAAAGAGAAAAGAAATATGTCGAATAGTGCTGTCTAAAACATTCATGTAAAACTCCAAAGATTGTCCAAGATTTCACACGTAGATTATACAGCATAATGGTTTCTTTATAAATGAAATTCACCTTTTTAAATATACCTTGACCAGTAATTGGGAAGGGGGTTCCTAAATATAACTTGATCTACTAATAATTGTACGAAGTGCAAATCAAATACGTCGTCCACTAATAAGAAAATCAAACTAATATTGGCTCATAACATTTTAACAGCTCTCCCTACATTTTAATAGGTAATATGAGCTTTGAGAACCAGCTGTTACTAAAAGACGTATTCACGATGCATTTGACAAATTAAAATGTGATCAGCATAATTTTTTTGAATCTAAACCGTTTCATGACGGCAACTTAAAAGTATTATCTACAAATATCTAGGCGTCACACTTGATAGAACACTCACCTTCAAAAGTCATCTTACAAACGCAGCCGGTAAACTAAGAACACGAAATAACTTAATATCAAAACTTGCTGGAACAACTTGGGGTGCTTCTGCAGATACTCTTCGGACCTCTGCTCTAGCTTTGGTTTTTTCAGTGGCAGAATATTGTGCACCAGTATGGCTAAATAGTGCACATACAACCAAATCGATGTCCAACTTAACCAAACCATGAGAATAATCACTGGAACAATAAAATCAACGCCAGTGAGATGGCTGCCTACTCTGAGCAATATTGCTCCACCAGATCTACGCCGTACAGCAGCATTAGTGAGAGAGTACCAGAAAATTGTAGCCAACGTACAATTACCAATACATCAAGATATCCCAGACATCTCAAAAGAGCACCAACGATTGAGATCTAGAAATCCTCCAATACGATCTGCCCGAAAAATTGGTAATTCCTATGATATACATAGGCAATGGACAACAAGATGGATGCCAACAGTAGAATCGGACTATATTAAGATATCCACCCCAACTCAGGGTTTCATCGTATCAAATCTGCCCCGGTCCATTTTTGCAAGGCTTAATCGTATACGTACCGGACATGGTAAATGTGCTGATTCGCTGTTCAGGTGGGGTCGTGCAGAAAGTCCACAGTGCGATTTCGGAGAATCTAGACCGACCATAAGCCATTGTGTTTCAGACTGCTTGAATCGTGCCTACCGTGGAAACCTCCAGGACTTTGAGGAATGTTCCCCAGAAGCAATTGAATGGCTATGTAAATTGGACATTAATATTTAGTGTCATTCATTCTATTCATTCTATTTTTACTATTTTTAGTGTTTGAATAATATATATATATATATATATATATATATATATATATATATATATATATATATATATATATATATATATATAATATATATGTGTATATTATTGTAATTGTATTTGTATATTTTTCGTACTGTGAAAGTCCATACGCTAAATAAAATAAAAGTATTATCAACATTGAAAATTAAATTTGTCTGCGAAATTTATTTAACCCTTATATGGGGACGTGAGGTCTGACAGACTACAGCAGTGGTCGCCAACCTTTTCAATGTGTTGAGCTACTTTGTTAATTTTGGAATAAACAGCGAGCTACCCACACGGAAGCCACGTAACGAAACGTAAATGAAATAATCCACAGTTAATCTATCATTATATGTATTTATTTTACTGTTTAACTGGAAATACATAATACATAGGTACTAATAATAAACTAATAACAAACTGATTTAAAAGTTTCGATGATATTGTGTTACCCTGTCTCACGCCTCTATTTATTTATACTGATTTTGTTCCTTCATATACTTTAATTGTTGTTTTGGCTTCCTTATATATATTGGCTATCAGGAATGTGGTATTCATTTGCTCGTTCTATAAGTATTTTTATACTTAGTAAATGGTCAAAACCAGCTTGTTCTGTCGACTAGTATCCGTCGAATTTTGTCGTCAATTTATTGGTTTAAATTTTTGTTAGGAGTTTAAACATTACATTCAGAAGTGTTATAGGACGGTAGTTTTTTTATATTTGCTTTATCCCCTTTCTTGTGTAGGATAATGGTTACTGATTCCTTCCAGTTGTTTGGGATTCTTTTTTCTTTTAATATCCTGTTAAAAAGGGAATGTAGAGTATTAATTACCACTTTTCCACCATATTTCAGCATCTCTGTAGTTACTCCATCTTTTCCTGGCGATTTGTTGTTTTTCATTTCTTTCAATGCCTTCTTTATTTCTGATTTGCTTATTTCTGGTTGTAGCTCTGAGTTGACATTTTTTTATTTTAGCCTTAAATTGGTTTTTAATTTCTTCTGGTGGTTCCTTTTTTGTTTTATATAATTCTGAGTAGAAATGGTGGATTATATTTATGATGTCATTCTAACGTTTGTTTCTATTCCATTTACATCTTTTATTTAGTTTATTTCAAACTTACCTAGTTTTGGCCTTAAGCGTTTCATATTTTTGTTGTTCTATATTACTTCTTCTATTTTTATTTCTTGTTCTTTTCTCTTATTTTCTTTTATCATTCTGCTTATTGTTCTATTGATTTCTACATACTCTATAGATTTCCTTTTGCCTTCTTCGTTCAGCTTCCTTCTTTTATCCATAAGAAATTTAAATAACTAATCTCTGTATGTGAACAAAGACACCATAATTTATATCGAAATCCCGAATGAAGATCGTGCGTGAATGAATCCAAAATATGGTACCATTTCCTTGTCTATTAAAAGGTTATGTTAGAATATACCAAATTGTAAGAATTTTATTTGTAGGTAAAGAAAATAGTTAAAGAAATAATAATAAGACCTATTTGATATGGACTCACACAAGCAACACATTCATGATTTGAATTTTATTTGTATATAATGTATTATGTGTATAATTGAGTATTAGACAAATAAATATTTTGTTTGATTGATCGAAATTTATTTCTAGACATGATTTTCCTCAGAATGGCTACTTCCTTATCTTTATCTTTCGAACAATACATGTCACATTGTGGCAAAGTATGATAACTCGATAATACGCAGATATCCATAAAGCGTTTCAGTTCAGCTTCATTCATATCGAATTTGTGATGATTGTTTTGTGATGCATAATTATTTGAAAAATGTATAACCTGGCTTGTGACTTCATCATAAAAAAATAATAAAAATATTTCGATGGGCGACTTTTCTCCATAGCTGGCTTTGATGTTCTCTAAAAGACGATTTTTATTACTTTTAGGATTTTCACATTTTATTGCGAATTTTACTGAGTGGGATGTTATCTTCTTCAGAATCACTTGCTGTCGGAACCTTAATTTCATATGTTACAGCAATTTCTGCATTAGTATTATCTTTTTAAATGAGGGTATCATCTAGGTCTTCATTATCAGTAATTTCATCAACATTAGGAGGGATATATGTAATTTCTACTTCATCTGCATTCTCTATATCTGAATACATTTCCTGTGTAAAGGTCGCTTCTAGCTCTGGCCCAACGACATTCTAGAAGTACCTAGTTGACTTATATTGACTGTGATAAAATAACCGAATTTTAGGCTAGACAGATAATTCTGAATAAAAAAAAGAATATTCCTTTATGTGCAACAAACAAATATTTTATAAACCACCTCACAGTTACGAAAAGCTATTACACGTGCATACAATTGCAGTAGATATGTAACTTACAAACTGACAGACGGTTGATGTCGCGATGGCCATCAATCGTCACTGACGCCGTTATGTGCCAAGCGTGCGTACCAGCACCCTCAATATTTAAATCAAAATTTGAAAATTCCAGGCCAAGTTTCATCCAAGTATGCAATTTGGAATGTAGCGTAATAGTATTTTAAATCTCTATTATTGTCTTCATGATGCTGTCAAACAGTTTTGAAAAATCGTGTTAGTTTCACAAATTGTAAAACAGTTTTTGTTATTCATAATTAAGTACATACGGTTATAAAGATATAACGAACATGCTAGAATATTTGTAAATACTTGTCAGAGTACTAAGTATTTTAGCAGTATATAAAAAAATAAAAATGAAAAGGATGCGTAGACGCATCTATGGCTGTTAATAGGTTAATAACTTAATTATCTGCAATTCATATCTAGTACAAAGTAGTAATATTATACTAAAAAGTAAAAATACCAACATACGTATCCCATTTTTCAAGTTCGACCGAAATGATTTCAGTCGACTTTTAAATACCAATCATCTCTACTTCATATATCATATTTACATTTAAAAGCAAACATATTTCCCTTTCACTCACCTGCGTAGCTCCCACGACAATTCAAACGCAGTCAATATAGGATCTTTGGAAGATAGAGCTATGAGGGACGGGGAAGCTAAGGCTCTATACGCGTTGATCCTACTCCTTGAGTGCCGCAAAGAGTCCTCCTGCCGAGAAGTGACGCACTCATCGCAACCGCATCTGAAAGTTCAAAAAAGAAGTTTATAAGGAGTTCGTCAGACTTCGGTCATTGATAGGTCAGGAAGTGTTTAACCTAAATGTAATATAGGTTAGTGATTTAATTCTAATTTAAAAATATCTTCCAGCGTATCATCCTTTATTTTGTACCATTTAATAGTTGCCATTACCATTTAATAGTAGTCAAAATTTGAAAAATTATTACATTATTTTATGACGCAGTTAGAAAGGGCGTTACTAATATTATAAGCGTACGGTGGAGGTAGAAAAATTATTTTTAGTTTATAAAAATTTTATTTCTTAAATTCCCTGACATTTTTGACAAACTTAAACATTATACCAATAAATTGATATTAAAAAAAAAGAGTTGCGGACTAATAATTTAAAAAACTGCAATTATGAATAAAGTAATAAGTTGCCGTTGAAGTGTATTATTGGTTTCATAATTATTAGGAAAAAATTATCAAATTATCCGAAGAATTGTAATGCTCAGACCTTGTCTGAGGGTCTCCTCTTATACAAACAACCCCCATTGGGAGTTGTACGTTGCCATGCAGAGTATCTAATAAATACTTTAACATCACAACCTATTTTTAACAATAATGTAACACAAAAATAAAGGATCTGCAACGGATATTGCAAACTATAGGCTGATTTGTGTGTCAAGTCAGTTCTCTAAAATATTTGAAGCAGTCTATGCAAATAGATTAACAGATTATTTAGAACATTTTAAAATTCTTCTTGTTATTAGAAACGGGTTTAAAAAAAATGATTCAACAAATACTGCTATTTCTTACTGTCTTGAATTTATTTATAAAGCATTAAATGATAAATTAATGGGTGGGTTGGGTCTTTTTTATGACCTTAGTCGTGCATTTGATACGGTTGATTGTAACCTCTTATTACAAAAATTGCAGGGTATTGGAGTACGTGGTATACCTTACAATTGGGCCCTATCTTATCTAAATAATAGAACTCAAGTACTCACAGTGGAAAATGTAACGTCGAGGCTACTTCAATTTACGATGGGTGTACCTCAAGGCTCAATAGTGGGGCATTTATTTTTCATTATATTTGTAAGTGACCTAAATACGTTTTGTTCAATGCCAAATAAAATTGTTTAGTATACTGATGATATCAATATTCTCATGTCTCACAGTTAACCCATACAACTGGTGGAAAATACCAATGTTGCGTCTGCTGAATTTAGCACCTATTGTTAAAATAATGGACTCAAACTCAACCTAACAAAAGCACATTTTTTGCGTTTCCTACTAAAAAACTCCAAATTCTGACTTTTATTTACATGTTGATGGTAAATCAGTAGAAAGTTATACTACAACAAAACTTTTGGGGGTAATTCTAGATCATAAACTTACATGGGAAACTTACGTAAAGTAATGTATCAGCAAAGTGGAGTACATGTATTGCGTAATTTAAGAGAAACTGTGTCATTTGACATATTGTGAATAATTTAATATAGTTTAGTCCAGTCTGTACTTCAGTATGGCTTAATCTTTGGGGTGCTCATCTCATTTTGATCGGGCATTTATAGCTCAAAAGAAAGTTTTAAGAAGTATATATGGCGTTCCATTTTCAGATAGTTGCAAGTCACTATTTAAGAATTCTAATATTTTACCACTACCTAGCGTTTTAATTTTCCAATTAATATTGCACATTGAAGAAAACAAGCTTAAGTTTGACAGAAACGAGGACATTCACTCACACGATACTAGAGGTAAATCAAATTTTCCGCAACCTTTCTCTAAATAAGTGTATCCCGACATGCACCTGAATATATTGGAATAAAATGTGACAATAAAATAGTCAATATATTAACTCTGAGTAATTTTTCACATAATGGTTTTCGCCAAACTATGTATTCATTTTTAATGGACAGAGTTGATGGATTTTTAAATTTTTAACATTTTTGCAACAATAGTTCCAAATTTGTATTTGTAACTTTTATTTCTTATTTAGTTTATTTTAATCACTGTTTTATTTTAATTATGTCTACTTCTACTATATATTGTACTCTTTTGTACTAAAATTTTGACTAGTCCGATAAGATTTATACATTTTTTTGTAAGAATTGTGTAAACTGGAATTGTGTGAATAAATAAATTCTATCTATCTATCAAATCAAATTTTGTAACTTTTTAAGGGTTCTTACTCAGATTTTTAGTGGCTTGACTTATGTATATTTGGTAATATTAGACTAATGATGGACTTTTTTCTCCGAAAACGTTCTGTGATAAGGCCCAAAAAGGGTATTTTAATTATATATATATATATATATATATATATATATATATATATATATATATATATATATATATATATATATATATCTATATATCCGGTTTTTTAGGCGTTACGCCTGTCCAGTAGGGATCTATGGAGGAGTATCACCAAGCCGCAAGCCCTTATCTCTTGCCGTACTGCTCCACCATAGGCCGATCAGATCCCAGCATATCCTAGTCTAAGCCGCAGATTCATCTAGAATTTTAAACTGCTGCGTTAGACTTTTTGTTTTCTGTACACCGAGCTTGGGCTCGATCCCACATCCACTAAACCATTCGACAGTGAAGCGAATGATAGGCAGCCGCACAGCCCACTGAGCTATCTGACCGACATTTTAATTATATACCTTTTATAAATGATTTTTAAGTCAAAATTATATTATACTAAAATAATTCAATATATTAATATGTTTACTCCTAACGCCATCTGCTAAGGTATTACCAAAGCATACGTTGTTTACTTCTGACAAACCTGTCAAATCAAACGAACTATTAAATTTTTAATAAAATATAAATAAACATCATTTGACTGTAAATTTAATTATTATATAAATTGTGTGTGTGTTTTATTGGCACTGGTTTTGACAACCAACTGGCCTGTCAATTATTATATAAACTAAAAAAGATGTTCATATTATTATTATCATTATTAAGTTAATGCCTCGACAACTAAGATCATTGGCATGGTACAGTCAGGTACCTAGTGTAGTGTGTGTGTGTGTGTGTGTTTGTAGAGTAATTGTCTTGATACCATGATATAAGGATACCAGATATGATATTGCAACGCACTAAACTCGTACACTCACGCGCATGACGTCACCTTGTGCTAAATTTTCAAAATGTATTTATGCTTGCGGATGAAACGAACTGTTGAAATTCTAATATAATTTACTAGATGTTTTATTTACTACGTGAATTTAAGATTAAGTATTTAAATTAGTATATTGTATTAGTTAAAATAACAATTTTCACGTTAGGTAAACTATTTCTTTTGAGGTTGCAGTCATTATTAGGGCAGAATAAGTAAAACTCTTTGTTCTTTTATTTAGCTTTCACAAAAATTTATTAGCTTCTTCAGGATATGCTAAAATATGGTTATAATTATTTAATCTCCTACCTATATATATATATATATATATATATATATATATATATATATATATATATATATATATATATTAATAAAGTATTCAACTGTGAATTCAGAGGTTAATCGGTCGTTCAGGTTGGCAAAATAAAAAACAGAAGTCAACTACTTCATAAGTTTATAGACGACATTTCGCTTTATACTTCTAACGCTTCATCAGTTCTAACTCAATATGTAGTATTAAAGATGTTATTATATATGTACTTAAGTTTACTCATTATTTAGAACTAACTTAAAAAAACAGAAACACAGGACACAAAAACTTTGCAAAAAATAATATCATTCGCAGAAACGAAGATTTAACAAAATTTTAAACGTACATTTGGCTTCATTTAGAGATGGTTCTCCAATGAAGCCAAATGTACGATTCATCACTTCAATCACTTTCAACAAAGTGCTTAGAGCAAACACGAGCAAATTTAACATTAAAATGACATATTGTCAACGGCACGGAAAAATTTAAAGCCTTGTAACACTTTTAAAATATTATTTTATTAAATATTGGCTATGAACCGTAAATGTACATAAACGTCAAAACACAATATGGCGAAATTTAGCACAAGTTGACGTCACAAAAGTCATGCATAAGCCACGCCCACATGTGCGGTATCTTATCTGTTTGTATTTGTATCATGTCTTGATACTTAGCAAAGTCGACGTCATTGTCTTTGCTAAGAGACGCTAATTGTATCCGAACGTCTGCGGTCCCTTGGGTGAGTACCGATCGAACAAGGATAGAAATTATTTTCATTCATTAATTTTTAATAAACGAAAATTTCTCCACCCAGATGAGATTCGAACTCACGACCTTTAGGTTTAAAGGTAGGCGCTCTTACCACTGAGCCACAGAGTGGGTTAACAAGATGTTTTTGAAAATTGCATTTAGATATAATTATTTTAAATCGAGAACTGTCATAAAACTTTAAACTGATGATTCAATATTATTACTAATTTTTTTTATTAAATTTGCAAATGTTCAATCTGTTATTACAAGCTATTAGTAAATGTGAGTGTTGCAAATACATGAGAAGAGAAATTATCCACTGATAACACTCTCAATACTAACACTAACAAATTAAATTAATGTAGGATTATAATTTGAAACGAAAATTAAAATAAAAATAAAAATTGAAATTAGTGAACAAAGTATATTGGCCACTGTCTCTTCTATCTTTATCTGACTTCTGGTTTGGAGGTGTAGCTGTCTTGCTTACTCGTTGAGGTAGGCTGGCAGATGTTCTAAATAATTTCTTGTTAGTCTGCTGATATCGTCTTCAACGGACGGTATACCAGAGTAATCATGCAGTGTTTTTTTACTAACGTACCTCGGCGCTTTGAAATCCATTCCAAGTATTTTGGATTGGATTATCTGAATGATTTTGGTATTAGAAGGCTTTGCACAGCCCATAGTTTGACTCCATATGTCCTTAAAGGCTTTATTATACACTTATACAAGAGAAGTTTATTCTTCTTCTTCTAGTTCCATGACCGTTATCGATCGTTGGATATCATGTTGGCTACCATATTCGCTATCGTGACTTTATTGATAGCAG